GCGCGGCCATCGAACGAGGGCGTAATGAGGGCGTAACGAGGGCGATAGGCTCACTCGAGCTGGGTTGGATTGGATCTTTGCTTTTCCTTAAAATGTTGCCAGATGAAAGGCCTGTTGATCAATCCTGGTTTTGGTGGCTTTGCTCGCTCGCTGCGCTGCTCTGTTTGCCTGCCTGGTTTGCTGCTTTGTGCTTGCTTTCGCTTGTCTCTGCCCTTGCTGGGCTTCTTTATCTTGTTACAACTGGCACCCTGTTTTGGTTCGTGTTCGGCCAGCCGAGGGCACCACTTTGCCCTTGGGACTGGGGGGTTTAAACAGTCTCTTCTTGTTGGTGGGATTGGGCCTGTTTATTCTCTCCCGAAATACGGTTTCAAACCCTTTCGCAGGTTATCAGCCGTAGGATTCGTCCTCGGTTGGCACCGCGAACCCCTTTTTAATAACAACCCTGCAGGTACCGTAGGTTTCTGTAGGCGTCATGGCGGGTCAAGAGCTAATCGCTCTCAGGGTCATGGGACTAATCGTCCTGACCATGATGACTCCGTCTCAGGACGTGATGATGACGAGCCCGGTGTTGCACCTGGAGCTCAATCCTCATCTTTCCCCGAGCTGATGAATATTGGTCAGTCCAAGGTTCGTGACTCCCGAGGCTGCAGTAGACCTGTGCCAACCAGTAGCATAGCTTTTCAAGTGCTCGGTGATCCCGAACCTGGTACATCCAGTGTAGTTGCATTTGATGTTCATCTGCCGACTGAATCCGGTGGGCTTGATTGGAGAGCCCCATGGCCCAACGACGGAAATATTTTTGGCATGGATTTCGCCGCATGGATGCCAGGGCCACCCGCCCCGTCATCTTTCCCGCAATTCCAAAGCCCAAAACGGGCTGCTGGAAGCGATGAATTCATGCTACCTTTGTCGATTGAGAATCTCAATCCTGATGTGGCCAGCCGTAACGTCAGGCCAAGGCCGTCGGTAAACCCGACCATGAGGAACATGTCCCCTCCCCCAGGACTTTCAGGATTTGAGAGCCCTAGGGAGCGGAACATCGTAGATAGATTGGATTTGCATCCCAGTCCAACCCCGAGCAAGCGATCAAGATCAAATTCGACTGGATCGCATAGGGCAAGGGGGATGGATCGGGAAACTGCCCACAGGGGAAACCCCAGTACGCGGGACTCAGGACGCGGTCGATCAGGTGACCCAGCGTCGATCATCGGTAGGGACCCGTTAAACGCGGGCACACTCGTTAACGTGCTTGATGGGATCGAAGCATTCCAGGAGGAATTTAATAGGTCAAATGGCTCGAACGCACAAAGTGTTCGACCTACGCCCGACGCGGCTTCCTTTTTTGCCTTGGACAACATGGACGGAGCTAATGTTCCGATTGAATCTGAGTCCATGATGGCATCAAGTTCTAGTCGCAATCACACTATCAGTAATGGAACTGATATTGAATCGATGTCTGAATCTAGAGTGTCCAATGTGACCGATCTAAATGACACTGTCATTGCTGACTCGGACCTGATGTTCCTATGCGAACTGATAGGCCTGCTGTTCCAAAATTGTCCGTGGCCAAAAAGGCCTGGGCATGACGCAACCCTCGGCAGTTCGTGATGCTAGGAGATCTGCGCCGTATCAGAGCCAATCTCCTAATCGGAGTGAGTTCCCACGGCCATCAACGGCTATACAGGATGATTTCAGAACTCCTCCGAGATCTAATCCAATCATGATTGACCTGTCCACTCCTTGGGACCGTGGATATAGGCATAGCCCCATGGGCGAAGATCAGCCCAATGAGGTTGCTGATCTTGTCACGGCCCTTGAAAGAGGGAAAGTGGACTCTTCCGTAAGTGCGATTATTCATCGCCTAGTTGCTAAGGTCGAAGACCTTGAAGGCAGGAGGAGAAGGGACCCCAATGCTACTCGGATCAGGAATAGGTCCCCTGGAGGCGCGCCTGAGACGAACCCTACGCGGTCATACTCGCCGCCTCTGCGACCGCCTGTTGATAGGTCCCGTGACGATCTTGCTGAGGGTCAGCCCAATGCGGCGAGCTCTCAAGGGGCTCCAAAGGCTGCGCCAGCTGCAGCCCTAGATAAGCGCGAAACCGGGTATTATCCAGGTTACGATCCTAATGGTGTAAGACCAAAGGATCCTTCGGGCCTTGACCCGCCAATCATGCGTGGTCCTGATCCTCCCGAAAGGAATTGTCGTATGTGTAATCGGGACATTCCTGACCCTAGCAAAATTGAGGATTGTAGGATATGCATGAAAAGGGCATGCGACATCTGCATTCCAAAGGCTACTCGCCTATGCCCTGTCTATGCAATGTCAATCGGTAGTTCGCAGGTCCCACAGCATCTTTTCGGAACAGGTGGTGGCGGATACAGTAGCCATCAGGATCCGAACTGTACAGCATTTCCATAGACCTTCCATCAGAGCCCGACGCGGCTGGTCTGAGGGTATGGATAGCCAATAAGCTGTTAGCAATGCCTACAGCTATGATGGACTATACGTCATCAATTGGCTAACCGAAGTTGAGAAGGCAAAGTCCTTTGAAGAACTGAATGGAGAATGTAGATACCACGTTCTTGAAGCCAGGTTCAATGCAGCCATTCGAAAGTGCATCAAGACTGTTGCGATCATGGACAAGATCAATCGTCTCACTGAGGCTGCTCAACGCGCCAACAACCGCATCAAGAGCAGGCAGATCTTATACGACCACTTGAGAACTGCAAACATCGGAGAGCAATCATTTAGAATAATTGAGCTCTCGAACCTGCGGTGTAGCGTTTCGACTTTCTATGCAGAGGAGGAACGACTCGAGCGATTCATCGCGAAATGGGACCACATTCTGGCGGGTCTCGATGAGCCGCAGACCGAACAGGTGAAACGGTCGCTATTCAGTGAGAAGGTCAGACACCTCAACTGTTTAGCGCATGATATCAGGGAATGGGATAGAAACATATCCAACCCTGATGTCTGTAGCTATGAGTGGCTTCGCGCTCGTTGTAGGAACGAGATCGACCGTTGGAGAGTTTGTAGGAATCAAGTCAATATGCACAAAGATTTTTACGAGCGAACTCCGTCCAGGGAAAGAGCCCAGAAACCTGGTGCTCCTGGCCCTCCTGTCAGGAGACGGTCACCATTTGGGGACTCTCACAGGCCTAGTCGGCCACCTAGTGACCAAAGAAAGAAGACTGGTAATACCCCGAGTCCGCGCCAGAGAGATAGGTACTCTCCAAGGAATCGGGATCAGGACAGGAGGCGTACGCCTAGCCCCAGGGGCGAAGCTCCTAGGAGGCCTAGATCTACGTCAGCCCCGGCAATCGACGCATGCAGGGACTTCGCACGTGGGTGTTGCTCGCGTGGGCAAGAGTGCAAATTCGCACACACACCAGAGGGGGAGTCCGATGCCAAGCGCAAGGAACGTCCTCCCCTAATTCCAGGGTATTGTGCCCAGTGGATCTTTTATGGCAAGTGTCTGAGGGACAAGTGTGATTACAAGCATGCAAAGCCACCTGAGCATTTGCTGAAAGATGCAGGTAAGCGCACTGCGGCTCCAGCAACCGAATCTGCTGATGCGCAGCCCGCATCCGCTGAACCTACTAGCACTGCTGACGACAGGACATACAGTCCTGCGCCTGATTTGTCAGCAGGTTTTTGAGAGGGGCGAGCCGTAACCCTCAGGCTATTGGGCTTGTTGCCTGCCCTGCTCATCCCATAGCCAAGGCATTTGAAGAGTATAAGGCTGGATTTCAACGTCCGGTAGGGATCGAACACTGCAAGGCACGTGTCCGGGTGGACCAAATGTCAGGGCTGTTGGCAGACGGACTATTCGTCTATCAGACAACGCTCTGATTGATGATGTTGATATGAATGCACCAATTTGTAAATCCGTCTTATTCAGGCGGATTCCCGGGCCTATGGATATTAGGACAGACTTCTATTATCTGCCCGGCAAGTGCGGTCAGTATAACTCTGAGCTCGCGCGCATGGTAAAGGTTAAACCCAGTGCTCGCGAGCTGAGCTTCAATGACACCGCGGAAGTCTTGCAGGTTGAAAATACCAGAACACGCAGTGAGTCTAGGCCGATTGTCCATCGGCGGTCGCACTCTCACCCTATTCACCCGGATAGACTGCGCCAGCCTCCTGAGGTGATTGCAATGTCCGAGGAAAACGCTAGAATCCTAGCCGCCACAACTCGACAAATTGTACAGATGTACCTAGGTGAGTATGTGCCGGACAATAAATGGGCTCGTCGCATTCGAATGATCAGGGAAAATATTCCTGATCAGATGCCAGCAATGCCTGGCCCGCAGGTAGGAATCCGGTGGCTTGCTGACACTGGGTGTCCCTTCGACTTGGTTGGGACGCACGACATCCCTACCCAAGATCATCGCCATATCAAGAATGGGCGAATTCAACATTCACTGCAAACCGCCAATGGCGTTGCTGGGACCCAAGGTCGGGTTGACGCAACTGTTGAATCACTTGACGAGGACATTGAGGCCTTCGTCATGGGTAATACACCCTCCATCATATCGATAGGGCGTAGATGTGTGGATTTTGGATATAGTTTCAGGTGGGATGCCTTTGAGGTGCCTATTCTGATCTGCCCATCCGGCAGAACTGTAAAGCTCGACGTTATAAACAACGTCCCATACCTGCCTAAAGGGCCGGTAATGTTTGGAGCTCCAAATCTAGACGCATGTCCTGCGATGCCGGCAATGCCCGGACCAGTACTTGCTCTAAATGATGAACTGTACCCTGCAGCTCCCTCTGAGGCCGACGCGCCTGACGAGGGGGGTGAGATTATTGAAATCAAGCACCCTGAGGGGTACAGAACTGAGGCTCAGTTGCGTGCCGAAGCTAAGACGCTTCAGCACATGATGACGCATTTACCAAAGAATCCGTTTTGCACGCATTGCCAACGAGCAAAGATGGAAAACGTGCGTTTGCACCGCCGTGGCGGTGCTGACGCGCATGAGTGCAAGAAATTCGGTGA